TCCAGCCCAGGTGAAAGAGTGAGACACTGACTCAAAAATAATTAAATAAGTAAATAATTACTTTGACAGCCAGGGCTACATGTATGGCTGTGCAGGTTGTACACTGCACAAGAACACACATTCAAAGAAATAGTCACATCCTAAACCACAAAGATGTATATATTTATTATGATAATTTACAGCAGATGATGGCAAAGTGTATTTTTAGGTGTGGTGGTACATGCCTGTTGTCCCCACAACTCAGGAGGCTGAAATGCAAGGATTGCTTGAACTCAGGAGTTTGAGGCTGCAGTGAGCTGTGATTGAGCCACTGCACTCCAGCCTGGGTACTCAGAGCAAGATCCCATCTCTTTTTTTAAGAAAAGTGTCTTGAGGGTGGGGCATCCTTTTCTAATTTTTCTAAAGGTACCTATGGGCCAATAGTGGCCTTGTTAACAAAGATCTAGAGGACAACAAAACTAGGAGTGGGGGCCAGGAGCAGTGGCTCACACCAGTAATCCCAGCACTTTGGGAGGCCGAGGTGGGAGGATCACTTGAGGCCAGGAATTTGAGACCAGCCTGGGCAACATAGCATAGCAAGATCTCATCTCTACAAAAAAAAAAAAAAAAAAAAAGATTAACCAAGTGTGGTAGTATGAATTTATAATCCCAGCTACTCGAGAGGCTGAGGCAGAAGGATCGCTCGAGCCCAGGAGGCCAAGGCTGCGGTGAGCCATGATTGTGCCATGGCCCTTTAGCTTGAGTGATGGAGTGAGGTGGCCCCAACTCAAAAACAAAAAAACTAGGGATGGAGAAACCATTTAGACACCCATTACAGCTAGCTGGGAGAAGACAGCCTTAACTCAGGTAAAGGCACTAAGAAGGGCAAAAACATGTGAGATTGATGAGGCTAGACGGACCCCACGTGGTGACTGGGAGGAGGTGTGGAAGAGGAGAAGGAGGGGTGAGGAGTGACTCCCAGGTCTCTGATAGGAGCTGTGTGTGGAAGGATCTGCCAGTCCCAAGGGCGATGAGAAGAGGTTTGGGGATGTGATTTTGATTTGGGGATGGTAAGTGTGATTTACCTGTGGAAGCCCCAGGTGAGGCTGTCGAGGGGCACCATGGCAGGGCTAGAGATGCAGATCTAGTAGCATGGGCAGGTGGGCAGATGCTGAAGCCATGACACGGATGGGATTTTCCCAGAAGATGGCATGGCCCAAGCCAAGCAGAGGGCACAGACAGCCCAGGGGCACTGCCACCTAGTAGACAAGTGGACAAGGATGAAGTGGCCGGGGAAGAAGACAGAGTCTTCAAAGAGTGGTCACTCTACCTCGTGTCCCTGCGTCAGTCCTACATTTAATGTGGTCTTGTAGTCTTCCCCATCTTCTGTGGGCTGGAATATCCAGCATTGGTTTAAATTGTATACAAAATGAAAGGACACAGTCTCTTCCAAAATAATGTGCAAGCACTTTACTCTTTTGGCTAAAGAAATCGTTCTTTTTACTGCTAGCTACTCAGCTGTATTCCAGATAGTTCCTATTGCTGGACGTGTGATTTCCGAGTGTGAGGGGTTTGCCATAGAGGTCTCTGTCGCATAACAGAATAATGATCTTCCCACAAAATTTGCAGTAAAATAAATCTGTGCTGTATAAATCCAGTTTTCGTATTGATTGCCAATATAAGGATTTGGCAGGGTTCATAAAATTCCCAAGATCAATGGAATCACTCAAGAATGGAGCAAACTTTTATAGTTCATGTGGCTATATTTGCCATAATAACATTTGAAACAATTAATGATGATTAATATTATTTCAGACATCGAAACGGTGAAGTCCCTGTTGCAAAGATATCCAGACTAAACATCCAAAAGAGATAAGAACTTCTTGATCTAGGTTTTCTGCCAGGTTGTGTTATTAAGAAGTTTTTCTCTGGGCGCAGTGACTCACGCCTGTAATGCCAGCACTTTGGCAGGCTGAGGAGAGAGGATTTTCTGAGCCCACAGATTCAAGACCAGTCTGGGCAACTTGGCAAGACCTCATCTCTACACTAAATCAAAAAATTAGCCAGGGGTGGTAGTGCTCGCCCATGGTTCCAGCTACTTGGAAGGTTGAGGCAGAAGGATCACCTGAGCCCAGCAGGTCGAGGCTGCGGTGGCCGTGAGCATGCCACTGCACACTCCAGCCTGGGAGACAGAGTGAGACTCCCACTCAACGACAACAACAAAAGTTTTTCTTATTAAAGAGAGGATCCTACCTCTGCTTTTGCACTAGAATACATAATCAAGGTTTTCTTTCTTATTTCATTTCAGAAGGGTTCATTCAGGTGTCCATCCAGTTACACGTTCGCCAAGCACTGCCTTCCTGCCCTGAATTGTACTGTGTGCTGAATCTCTGCCTTTAGTCTTGTCTGTGCTGCATTGGATTCTAGCAGATTTCTTTTGTCTGAGAGCCTAATGTCTGTGCATCTATCAAGCAGAACATCACCTGGCCTTCTTCAGGGGCTTCCTGGAGGCCCCAAGTATGAAGGGCTTCCCATTAGCCCTGCCTCTCATGCTGACAATTCATTTGATGAGCTTGGGGAGGGTGCTTAACTTCTTCCTCTAAATGCAGGAAACAGGAAGCAGGAAAGTGAAGGTCCAAGATGCTAAATTCAGTTCAATCACACAGAAGCTTAAAATTGGGAGTCTCCTTGATCTATCTAGAAAAGGGGGTGGGTGGCATGCTGCTGCCTCCCAGATGCGTCCCAGAAATGACAGTGCCCTATGATGAGCAGGTGCAGGGCACACTCCTTTATTGTGTGTGATGGAGGGCTGTACATGTCCACCTAGTGTCATAAAGTCAGCCTGCTTGTGAAAACTCTGAACTCCATTTCCTTTAAGAAAAGGAGAGAGGCCAGGCGTGGTGGCTCATGCCTATAATCCCAGCACTTTGGGACGCTAAGGTGAGAGGATTGCCTCAGCCCACGGGTTCAAGACCAGTCTGGGCAACTTGGTAAGACCTCATCTCTACAATAAATCAAAAAATTAGCCAGGCATGGTGGCACATGCCTGGAATTCCAACTACTTGGATGGCTGAGGCAGAAGGATCACCTAAGCCCAGCAGGTCAAGGCCGCAGTGGCCATGAGTGTGCCACTGCACTCCAGCCTGGGTGACAGAGTGAGATTTCAACTCAAAAAAAAAAAAAAAAAGAAAGAAAAGAAAAGGAGAGGATTGGGCAACAGTCCGAATGCAGCAAACCTGGTTATCTAATATGGCATTCATTTCAAATTGTCTGGACAAGTGTGTTCATACTCCCCAGACTACAGGACCCCCATCTTTGATTCAGAAAACATGGTCACCGTATGAATGAATTGTTGGTAAACACAATATTCACTGCTTAATAATCCGGAAAAGATACAGGAGTGAATTTATAGTGATTTCGCACCTTTCATTATGGAATGCCATATAAATATTTAACTCTGATGTTTATTTTATTCTAATTTTTTGTTAATCACATTTGCTTAGTTAATATGGCATACTTATGCCAAGTTTTTATTATTGCCGTAGATTTCATGAATGATGACAATTTCCTGTGCTATTTTATTTGAAATTAGTTTGATTGTAAAGACTCATACAAAATTGCCCATTAATTCTAAAGCTTAGTATTTATGCCATTGTACATGCACACACATGCCTGTACACTCATACTCACACTTACATTCCTGCATATGCAAATACACACTGTTTTCTCATTATCAGTGAGACAACACATTGGCACATTGCCTCTAGCTTTCTAAGGGAAGGAATTTTTCTTTAAAGGTTCATTCATACTTCTGAAGGCAGACAAATTTGATTTAGCAGAACATCCTTCTAAAGTTGAGGAAGAAAGAAAAATTGCAAAATAAGACTGAAAGGAAGAAAGGAAAGATACAGATGGTGGAAACCAATTTTTTTTCTGACACTCAGGTTTTGATAGCTTGTGAAATCACTTTAGGAAAATTTCTTTTTGTCAACTTTTTCACATTGACCAAATGGTATGTTTGTTAGAGCCATGCTTAAGACCTCAGGGATATGTGGATGACCCCTGGGCCCCAATGTGCCTACCTACCCAGGTTCCAGGGGCATCTCCTTAAGGAATTCATGTTCCAGATTAAGCTCTTCCTCATCCCACAGTATCAATCAGTTCTTACCATCCACTTTCCTCCAGGACAGGAGGGTCCTTGAGCTTCAAGCAAAGGGGAAAAGGAGAGTCCAAAAGAGATGCCAGTGGGAACCAAGAACAGACGTTGCCCGTATCATTATTCTCTTCAGAGATGGCCCTGCTCTCTGAGAATGAGGGAAATGCAAGTTCCATGTTAGGATTCCATATTGGTCAGAATTAGCTTCTGTTTACCGTGCCTTAAACACAAGAGTTTGTCTCACTCTCATACAAAAGAAGTCTAGACAAGCCAGTCTAGATTGGCAAAGGGAATCAGTTTCCTTTTGGGTTGTTGCTCTATCAGTGCACGACTTTTTCTTCTTGGTCAAAGATGGCTGCTTAAATTTCAGCCATCACATCCTCAGTGCACCAGTAGAAAGGTCAGAAGGGCACAGTCGCTTCATTGATGGGCACTTCCCGGAAGTATCATACAACACAACTGCTTGCCTTCCATTGACCAGAATTTGGCCACACAGCCACACTTATCACCAACGGAGTGTGAACGGCCACACTTTTCACCAAGGGAGCGTGAAAAATACCATCTTCCTTCCTGTGGTTATGGGCTCAGCAAAATATCAAAGGTCCGTACGTATACTGAGGGAGAAGAGAGAGAATTAGTGTTGAGGGATGACTAGAAGACTAACACATATATCATCTTGCTAAAATGCCTTATTTCTCTCTGTGACCTGAGTTCTTTTCAGCTTTCTGGATTTCTTTCCAGGCCCAGACATAAAATTTGCAAATGAAGAAATGTGATCAAACTCTAAGGTCATTTCTAAAGAAAAGCTTTAGAAAGCTGAGACCCCATTCTGGGATTGCCTGCTAATGCCTCCTTGTAATTTCAGCGGAAATTCTAGAATTGGCTGGAAATGCTGCGAGGGACAACAAGAAGGCCCGGATAGCCCCGAGACACATCCTTCTAGCCGTCGCCAATGATGAGGAACTCAATCAGGTGTGTCTGAAGGACTGAGATCAGTCACACTGTGGGTTTGCCAACACACCGCTGCAAGTGGTCTTGGCTGGCCATGAGTCATTCCTGCTACAAGTGTCAATCACATTTATACCCAAAAAAATTCATGCCACGTAATAAACAAATTCTGCTATGTCATTCTGATTCCAAACAAAATGGCCTCTGGAATATAGACCCCATGATATATCCTAGGTCTTGCCAGACCTTTCTTTCCTCTTTAAAGACAAGTTCTGAGCCAGGCGGGTGACTCATGCTGTAATCCTAGCACTTTGGGAGGCGGAGGTGAGAGGATTGCCTGAGCCTGGGATTCAAAACCAACCTGGGAAACATGGTGAGACCTCTACCATAAATCAAAAAATTATCCAGGCAAGATGACGCAGGCCTGTGGTTCCAGCTACTTGGAAGCCTGAGGTAGAAGGATCACCTGAGCCCAGCTGGTCGAGGCTGTGGCAGCCGTGAGCATGCCACTGCACTCTAGCCTGGGAGACAGAGTGAGGCTCCAACTCAAAAAATAAAAACAAAAAAGACAAGTTCTGTGTGTTACTGAGGAAGGTGCAACACACATTGTTCTCCTTATGATTTCTTTGCCCAAACTTCCTTGACAATTTTTTTTCTGATGAAGTCAGGAGAATCTTTCTTTATGTATCAGAACTGACATTTTGAAACTAACTCCAAAGTCAAGTGAATAACCACTCCCACTCCAGGATACACAAGGTGATCGGTAGATACTATAAGAATGTTTAGACTGGGTACAGTGGCTCACATGTGTCATCCTAGTGCTTTGGGAGGCTGATTGAGGCTGGGAGTTCAAGAACAGCCTGGGCAACATAGTAAGACCCCCATCTCTAGCTAAATAATCTCTTTAAATTTAAAAAAAGAAGTTTTATTTTGATTTATTTTCGTGTATATTTACTTTCTAATCTCTGTTGTGAAGAATCAGTTCTTAATGCCAATTCATCATAGACTGATAATTTCCAAAAAGGTAATATAAATTAATTACTAGAAGAAAGCAAAGACATAGAAACTACAACCCACAATTTTTTATTCTCTTCAAAGATAGATTATATATATATTATAATAGATTCAATAGATATACAATAACTCTATCAATTGCTGTATAAGTTCCCAGACTCTTACCTGCAATTTCTGTGTTGCTTTTATGTAGATAGGTAACTAACATGGGTAAGCCGTGGTCGCAGACCATACTTGGAGTAATGCTGCTTTAGGACGTGGAGAATATATGAGTGGAGTATTACATGTCAATTATTTACAAAAAAACAAACGTACACCGATTGGGAGGTGCACAGTCAAACATATTTTACTGATGGAATGCATGTCTGAGGATATAGAGGCTGCAGATGTGTTGTTCACTGGGTCTAGTCTTTGCATTAACCTTTGAACCTAATTTTGCCAAACTGCACTCCCCCATATGAAGCTCTTTATCCTCTGTTGTGTCTGGAATTCCAGAGCTCTGGGCAACAACCTGGTTTCAACTCCTAGGACCCTTTTATTTTGCTTTGCTTTGTTTTGTTCTCTGTACAACATCACAGGATGTCTTGTTACCTACAGAGAAATGCTCTACAACTGAAGGAAGAGAAAGCCAATTAAATTGTATATTATGCATTTTCTTTAGGAAAGCAAAGATCAGTTTTAAGACTTGCTTTGCCGACAGTTAGAATTGTATTAAATCCAGAACCAGCAAACTCTGCTGTGTGAGCTCATGCCTTTCTCTCTTCAGCTGCTAAAAGGAGTGACCATCGCCAGTGGAGGCGTCCTGCCCAGAATTCACCCTGAACTGCTGGCCAAAAAGCGAGGGACCAAAGGCAAGTCAGAAACTATCCTCTCCCCTCCCCCAGAGAAAAGAGGAAGAAAGGCCACGTCAGGCAAGAAGGGGGGCAAGAAATCCAAGGCTGCCAAACCACGGACGTCCAAAAAGGTGAGTCAAGGTTGCATTTCTGGGCTGGGAGTGATGATTCATGCCTGTAATCCCAGCACTTTGGCAGGCTGAGGTGGGAGAATTACTTAAAGCTAGGAGTTCAAGACCAGCCTGGACAACATAGCAAGACACCATTTCCTTTTTTAAATTTTTTTAAATTTTATTTTTTAAAAAGGTTGCATTTCAGGCTGGGCACAGTGGCTCACATCTGTAATCTCAGCATTTTGGGAGGCCGAGTACAAGACCAGCCCAAGAGGTCAAGGTTGCCTGAGCCTGTGGGTTCAAGACCAGCCTGGGCAACTTGGCGAGACCTCGTCTCTACAATAAGTCAAAAATTAGCTGGGTGTGGTAGTGCACGCCTGTAGTTCCGGCTACTTGGAAGGCTGAGGCAGAAGGATCGCTGGAGCTCAGCAGGTCGAGGCTGCGGTGGCTGTGAGCATGCCACTGCACTCCAGACTGGGCGACAGAGTGAGACTCCAGCTCAAAAAAAAACAAAAACAAAAGACAGGCCGGGCTCAGTGGCTCAGCCTGTAATCCCAGCTCTTTGGGAGGCCGAGGTGAGTGGATTGCCTGAGCCCTCAGGTTCGAGAACTGCCTGGGCAACTTGGCGAGACCTCATCTCTACAATAAATCAAAACATCAGCCGGGCGTGGTAGTGCGTGCCTGTAATTCCGGCTACTCAGAAGGCTGAGGTGGAAGGATCACCGGAGCCCAGCAGGTTGAGGCTGCGGTGGCCGGGAGCGGCCACTGCACTCCAGTCTGGGTGACAGAGTGAGACGCCAACTCAAAAAAAAACAAAACAAAACAATAGAGATTCACCGGTCTTTCCTCGCCCCTTCTGCCATCTACCAGGTAGCGATCTACAGGTGCCTTGCTCTTGGACTTCTGGGCCTCCAGAACCATGTCCATGTGTCTCTATTGTTTCTGAGCCATCCAGTCTATGGTATTTTGTTATAGTAACCTAGACATCCTCACAAAATGAGAGGGACATTAAAAATGAAACCATGAAGGTGCAGCAGACATCTCTGAAGGACTGAGGATTGTCTGCAGCTTAGTGCTGGGAGGAAATGGCAAGAATGTGTGTGTAAAAGATAAAGGACCTTTGAGACTAGAGCTCAAATCATTAGAGTCTTCAAGAGATTTCCAACCCCAAAGCATGGATAGTTTTCAGCTCCTTTTTATTGCTCCTACCAAAGTCCTAAGTAAGAGACAATAGCCTAGAAGCTGCTTTTCTTTCTCAACAATAGGCTTTATGTTGCATACTAAACAATCTCTAGTCTCCCACAGGTGGGCCCCTTGAGTTAGCCTATGAAATTTCAGGTGTTTTGGATAGCTTGATATGCTAAGTAGCTTAGCTCAGAGATACCACTGGTGGAGTAATATTTTTTTCATATGCTGCCCAGTTCAGGAAACGCTAGTCACATGTGGCTATTTAAATTTTAATTGAAAAATGAAATCCAATTAAAAATTCAGCTCCTTGATAGCACTAGCCACATTTCAAGTGCTCAGTAGCACTAAAGATCACAGAAAGAATATTTTCATGATCACAGAAAATTCTTCTGGACAGTGTTGCCATAGAGGTTGTGAAATTGTCATTCTGCAGTTCTTCATGGTAACACAAAAGATCATAAGAGTTCACCTCAGCCGGTTGCAGTGGCTCATGTCTATGATCCCAGTGCTTTGGGAGGCGGGAGGATCACCTGAGGCCAGGAGTACAAGACCAGAATGGGCAAAATAGCAAGACCCCATCTTTACAAAAATTAAAATAAAAAAATTAGCAACCGGGCTCGGTGGCTCAGCCTGTAATCCCAGCACTTTGGGAGGCCGAGGTGAGTGGATTGCCTGAGCCCGCAGGTTTGAGACCTGCCCAGGCAACTTGGCAAGACCTCGTCTCTACAATAAATCAAAAATTAGCAGGGCGTGGTAGCACATGCCTGTAATTCCGGCTACTCGGAAGGCTGAGACGGAAAGATCGCCGGACCCCAGCAGGTTGAGGCTGCGGTGGCCAGAAGCATGCCATTGCACTCCAGTCTGGGCGACAGAGTGAGATTCCAACTCGAAAAAAAAAAAAAAAAATAGCCAGGTGTGGTGACACACACTTGTAGTCCCAGCAGGCTGAGACAGATGGATTGCTTGAGCCCAGGAGCTCGAGGCCGTAGTGAGCTATGATCATGCCACTGCACTCCAGGCTGGGTGATAAAGCAAGACTCTGTCTCTTAAAAAAAAAAATTTTAATATAAATAAATAAATAAACATAAAAAGGAAAGCGTTCACTCCACTGCCTCTGTGCTCCAGAGAGCTCCCAGGGAGAAGGGAGGTCGAGAGTACACTCAGAACAGCCCCACTTGGCTCTGAGCTTGTTGTAAGCTGCAGGCATTGAAAAGAGCAAGAATACTGTCCCTGTGTCCAGGTTTAGGTGAGGACTACAGAGATATGTGACCCCTTTAACAAACTTTAAATCTACCCTTTTCCTTTCCTTCTATTGCTGTCCCTTGCTGTCCTCCATCAAGAAATAGCAGAACATGACACCTCATCGCTTCCTTTCATATCCATGTTGGTGGCAGCATAATGAAGCCACATGGGGTCTTTTCTGGATTGGTTCTCATCTGTCCTTCTTATTTCTACCTACAGTCCAAACCAAAGGACAGCGATAAAGAAGGAACTTCAAATTCCACCTCTGAAGATGGGCCGGGGGATGGATTCACCATCCTGTCTTCTAAGAGCCTTGTTCTGGGGCAGAAGGTAATAGAGAGAGTTGCAGCGTACCAGAGCAAAACACTATTGCGTTTTCATAACCTCCTGTTTACAAGAAATGATGCCTCCCTTATCCCTGGCTCCCCTAATATGACTTGTACTTTAATCTCAAATTAGCCAGTTTTAAGCTGAAAAACTACGGCACTTTCAGCACTGTGAGAGAGAACAAGCTCTCTAGTGCTGAGAATTGTCCACATTGACACCGGTCAGCACAAGGTAAGCTTAGAGAATCTTACAGGTCAGTAGGTAGAATGCCATACTGGTCTTGCTGGGAATTCCCCACATCCCAGTAATTTCTGTTCCCACACATAAAAAACCCATAGCTAACTTTCCCAAACAGCTTCTGAGAGTCCTGTCTTACATGGTTCAGTGTAATTTATCAAGGAAAGAAAATTGAAATATCTGTTTCCTGAATATCCCTGGTGTTAGAAATGAATTATTTGCCAATAATTCAGTCTGCTTGCCTTCCGAGGCTGCAGAAAGAAAACAAACAGGGCTATCCATTTGAACGGTCTTCACAACACAACAGCAGCCCAGCCAGACATGCAAATAACTCATTCTTACAAGTGTGAAGTTTACTGAGTAGACAATTTATCTTTCAAGTCAACTAGGGCTGAAATAAGATACCCAAGGAAGTAGTTAATCATACCACTGGTAGCCAAATGTTTCCAGCCTGACAACAGTGTGAATCTCCATTCGAGAAATTGGGAAGATCATGACCTAGGAAGAGCATCACGTTGGTGGGTCCCTAGTTTATCACTGAAGAAAGCAGGGAAGCAAAGAGATGGCATTTATGTCCCCTCGCGGGGTTGTCCATGGTTACATGACTATCAGTGTTCTGTCACTTAGCTAGGGGAATGGAAAGATCTTGCTTACATGGGCAATCAGTGGAGAATGCCCTCCATTCCACTCTGCAGTGAACACAGAGGGCAGCATTTCCCAAGGGTAGCCCCAAGAATGTGGTCCCACAAAGCAAAGGGGCTGGACACAAGCAGGCAGGAATCCCAGAGCCCATTCTTTCTCCCCAGCAAAGTCATTTGCTTTTAGGGAGAAGAGAGAACAAACCCAGGACTTGCCTTGCAGGAGCTACTCAGAGGCTGCATCACTGAAAGCCAAGGCCACCAGGGTTGGGAACCAAAGGCATGAGCTATAAAGGAGAGAAAGAACAGGGGAGGTCCCATTCCTGTTCTAGGGAGGAGGAGGAAGTGTTGTTGCATGCTGCTAGTCTCAGAGTGAAAAGCAAATCCACTGAGCTCAAGGAGCTGGTTGAAAAACACCTGGGAAGCTTGAGGTTGCCGTTCTGTGTGCAGCCCTTTGGTTGACAGTTGGTATGAATAATAAAAAGGAATGAATGGATTCAGGTAAAATACAAGGATTCTCAATGGGAGGTGATCTCTCCTACATTCCCCATCTTTTCTTCCCGATGCAGCTGACCTTGACCCAGAGTGACATCAGCCATATTGGCTCCATGAGAGTGGAGGGCATCGTCCACCCAACCACAGCTGAAATTGACCTCAAGGAAGACATAGGTGAGATCCTGAGACTTTCTCAGAGCTGCTATACTGTGGCCCACTGTCTGGGCAAGATCTTGTGAAGTTGGCTGTTGTCAACTGGCAATCCCACTGCTTGGCTCCCATGTCAGATCCTGTCTTTGTATGTAATTGAATAGCTTTCAATAGAGAGCAACTCACTTTTTAAAAATCCTGCATACTTTTTTTTTGAAATTTTTACTGAAGTATTCTATCAAAACAGGTCATTAGTGTATGACTTGGCGAATTTTTCTCAAGTCATACAAGAATTTTTCTGAACATCATTGGGCAACTGTCACTTAAATCATCCTTTACCAGCATCCCAGAATCCCAAAAGTCCTTTACATACCCCCCTCCTGGTCATCACCCCCTCCAAAGATAGCCACTGTCCTGCTGTCTTCCAACAGCGTCGACGGGTTTCATCTGGTTTGATTTTTATAGAAATGAAACCACAGGCTCTTCTGTGTCTGACTCCTTTTCTCAATTTAGTGTTTGTGAAATCCATCCCTCTTGTTGAGTGTGGGTGTGTTCATTCACTCCCCTTGCTGTGCATTGTTATACTACATGAATATACCATAATGTATAACCATCTATTCAACCACTGGTAGTTTCCAGTTTGGGCTATAATGAGTAGAGCTACTATAAATATTGCTGTACATGTTTTGGATAAAACTTCACATACATTTTAAGCTTAATTTTTTTTGTTGTTTTTTTGAGTTGAGGTCTCTGTCACCCAAGCTGGAGTACAGTGGCATGATCACGGCTCACCACAGCATCAATCTCCTGGGTGCAGGTGATCCTTCTGCCTCAGCCTCCCAAGTAGCTGGAACTACAGGTGCACAGTACCACTCCTGGCTAACATTTTTCTTTTTTTTTTTTTTTGTAGAGACAAGGTCTTGCTATGTTGCCTAGACTGGTTTCTAACTCCTGGCCGCAATCCTCCTGTCTCCCAAAGTGCTGGGATTACAGGCTTGAGCCCCTGTGCCTGGCCTTAAGCTTATGTATTGAGAATGCTATTGATAAAAGGGAAATGGACATCTAGAAAAAATTAAGATGTTGATCAAGCTAAGAGCATTGGGCTACTTTACCAGTGGTTTGCCACCTGTCCCTTGGGCAGTGGGAGGAGGGCTTACTAGGCCAGGTGGAGAAGTGTAGGAGGGTAAGCTAACAGGGATGCTACTAGACACCATCTCATCCATTTTCACTAGACAGAACTGCCTTAAGCTCTCCACTGAAAGAGTAAAATGAACGAGGAAAGGATTGTATTCCTGAGATCCTGGGCTTGCCCCTATGGCTGGTGGTTTGAGGCAGGTAGTTCAGTCCTGGCAGTAGCACCAGGGGTCCCAGGTTACTGGACTCACTTGTGGTTCCCTCCTGGCATCAGAGGCCACCTACTGTGCTGGAAAGGAGATAGGATGGCACTGAGAAAAACCAGCATTCCAGAGAAACGGAACTTTCCTCCGCCATGGAAAGACGCCCTCTAGTGGCCATAATCTCAAGCCTCGTTTGAATAGGTGTCCCAGCTTCACACAAAGTTGCAATGTTCCTACTTATAAATTCTATCGCGTCTACATTTTTATATCAGAAAAACAATATACTTTCCTTAAGTGACAAGGTGGTAGAATAGAAAGAGCACTATTATTGGAGCAATAACTCAAGCTCAGATCCCAGCGGTGGATTCTAAGGCTGACCTCTTGGGTCTTGGGAGGAGAAACAGGCTGAGAGGCCAGACGATTAGCAAAGCAGGTTCTGGGTCCGCTTGGTCTGTGTCCCAGGTTTTCCAAATTGTCCCCAGCATGTGACCTTGGGCAGGATTCTTAACCTCCCTGAACTTCTGCTTCCTCCTCTGTAAATGATGGTAGCCATAGTACCTGTCTCATAGGCGTACTAAAGATTAAACTGAGGATACATGGATGGGGCCTATCACGTTGGGCTCCTTGACACTGAATGATTTGGTGGTCTTTTTTTCCTGCTGCTGTATTGTTAGAAAGAGTCCTTCCCATCCTGATACCTTTCTCTACAACCAACACCCTAACTAGTCGTCCATGCAGCTAAGGCCTGGACTTACTCATTTGAAAACATAATTCAATGGCTGGATGCAGTGGTTCACACCTGTAATTCCAGCCTTTTGGGAGGCTGAGGTAGTTGGATCTCTTGAGGCCAGGAGTCAAGACCAGCCTGAGAAACACAGCAAGACCCTATCTCTACCAAAAAAAAAATTTAGCCCAGCATGATGGCACACACCTGTAGTTCTAGCACTTTGGGAAGCCACAGCAGAGGGATGACCTGAGGCCAGGAGTTCAAGACCAGTCTGAGAAACATAGCAAGACCCCATCTCTACCAAAAAAAAAAAAAAAAAAAACAATAATAAGCTGGTTGTGGTGGCACACACCTGTAGTCCCAGCTACTAGAGAGGCTGAGGCAAGAGCATTAGTCCAGCCTAGGAGTTCAAGGTTGCGGTGAACTGTGATCACACCACTGACTCCAACCTGGGCAACAGAGCAAGACCTTGTCTCTAAAATTAAAAAATAAATAAATAAAAATAAATTTAAAAAGCATTATATTATTACATAAAAGAAGCAGAAAAGTATACTGAAACCAGATGCAATAATCACCACCTATAACCATGTTTGTTTCAGATCTCACCCCGCCCCCCACATACTTCTAGACATCATGTCATTTTATCTGCAAATATTTCAGAATGATCTCTAAAAGATAAGAACAACTTTTTTTAACAACTTAAGCACAATACCATTATTGTACCTAAAAAAAATATACATATCAACAAATATCCAGAATTCCAATTCCAATGGCATCATAAACATCCATTTATTTTGTTCTAATTTGCTTATTTGATTTAGGATTCAAATGAGTCCATACTCTGCAATAGGCTGATAAATCTCTTATAACCCATAAGTTCCCCCTTCCCACCCACCCCCATTTTTCTCTTTCTTTCTCTCTATCTGTCTCATTCTGTGTCTTTTTCTCTTTCTCTCTCACTCTCTTTGTCTATGTCCTTCTCTCTCTCTCTCTCTCTCTCTCTCTCTCTCTCTCTCATTGCTTTGCAATTTATTTGTTGAGAAAACTGGGCCATTTGTCCTATAGGGTATCCCACAGTCTGGATTTTGGAGGATTACATTCTCCTGGTGGTGTTAAGCATGTTTCTTCTCTGTTTTTGGTGGTGGTGGTGGTTTGGGGTTGTTGTTGTTGTTGTTGTTGTTGTTTTAAAATAAGTTCAAGCCGGGCTCGGTGGCTCAGCCTGTAATCCCAGTGCTTTGGGAGGCCGAGGTTAGTGGATTGCCTGAGCCCACAGGTTCAAGACCCACCTAGGCATCTTGGCGAGACCTCATCTCTACAATAAATCAAAAACTAGCCAGGCATGGTAGTGCACGCCTGTAGTTCCAGCTACTTGGAAGGCTGAGGCGGAAGGATCGCCGGAGTCCAGCAGGTTGAAGCTGCAGTGGCCGGGAGCAGCCACTGCACTTCAGTCTAGGTGACAAAGTGAAACCCCAACTCAAAAAAAATAAAATAAAATAAATTCATAGTTGAATTTACAGGTTTAAAAAGAACTCAGGCTCAAAAAATGTGGACAAAATTCCTTGGTCGGTGATGAGCATTCTTGCACCAGGAAGCACGTCTTGTTGTCTGTCTTTGTGTGATGTTAGCAGCCGTTGATGCCCTTCTCTAGATCTGTCCATTCCTTAGGGGTTGCAGAGTATGACATTCCTTCATTTCTTCACGAGAGTGCTTCTCTAGAGAAACGACCTTACAACACTCCAGGCTTTTTCTTCTCAAAAGTCAGTGAAGGAGGTTAATTCACCTTGCCTTCTGCCCACCACTATTTGGCCCCCAACCTACATGCAGAGTGCAGCAGTGTAGACCTATTTTCCTGCCTCTCGCCATGACCTGGCTACCAGCTTCAGTTACCTGGTGCTCTCTGGGCTTCTGGACCCAGCATATCAACAGTGACTAGGAGTCAGGGGCCAAAAAGGAGACTCAGAGGCAATGGACATAGCCATGACCGGTGTTTGCCAGTTGTGGCATTGAAACCCAAGCACATTAATGCACAAACCCCGTCCCCAGCCCCAGCCCAGTGGAGAATGACTGCTAGCATAGACATTTCTCCTAAATAATCTGCACCATGTATTGTGGCTCTCCAAACATCCTTGAGTGCCTGAGTAGGAAGGTGGGAAGTGCCATCACCCAAGGCCAACCAGGTCGCTGAGTTTATTAGAAGATCAAAACACCCGAGGGGAACTATCTCATCTCCTGCCCAAGAACAGCCATCATCCTAGTCTGGACAAAATACCCATGTAGTCTCAAAGACATAAGGGTGTGGGCAGAGGGGGCTGGATCCCCTGATGCACACAGATGGGGTTACTGCTGGGCCAGAGGTGGGGGTCTTGCTGTGTCCTGGGGGTTCCACTCAGTCTCTGTAGAAGCAAAGGCCTAAGATATTGAGTAGAAAATATCCCTAACCTCAAAGACTCAGGGGCTCTCCCAGCAGCAAAGTTCTTAGAGATTAGCCTCTCACATCTCTGCATTTTTCCATTGACAATTGAGGCCCAGGTTGGGGGAGAAACATGCCAGGCTGTATTGGGCTTAGTCTGTCCTTTGACCCCAAGGACTTACAATATGTTGGTGGCACCAAGATAGGAACAGGACTACAGAGCTCTCAGTGTAGGTACTGAACCCATAGAACACAACGCTGGAATCTCAGTTTAAAAAAAAAAATCAAGGCCAGGTGTAGTAGCTCACACCTGTAATCCTAGCACTTTGGGAGGCCCAGGTGGGAGAATCGTTTGAGACAAGGAGTTGAAGACCAGCACGGGATAACAAGACCCTGTCTCTACAAAAAATAAAAAATGATAAATAAATAAAAATCATCTTCAGGACTCATGTCATGAGATTGTTTATGGACAAATCATCCCTTTAAAATTTCCTTTTAAAATGCCTGCTGACCAAGCATGATGGCCAATGCCTATAATCCTGGCACATTGGCAGGCCGAGGCAGGAGGATCATTTGAGGCCAGGAGTTCAAAACCAACCTGGGCAACATAGTGAGACCCCATCGCTACTAAAAATTCAGAAACAAAAAGCCAACAACAAAAAAGCTTGCCAATGTAAGTTTGCCGGACTGAGGTCCAGTGACCACTGGCAAGCCAGGATAACAATTGACAAGTCGGATTCCTGGTTTCTTTCTTTTTTCTTTCTTTTTATTTTTGAGTTGGAGTTTTACTCTGACACCCAGGCTGGAGTACAGTGGCATGATCACAGCTACCACAGCCTCTACCTGCTGGGCTCAGGCGATCCTTCCAAGTGCTGGGATTACAGGCACGTACTATCATGACCAACTAATTTTTTATTTATTGTGGAGGCAAGGTCTCGCCATGTTGCCCAGGCTGGTCTCAAACTTCTGGGTTCAGGCAATCCTCTCACCTTGGCCTCTCAAAGTGTTGGGATTACAGGCCTGAGCCACCACACCTGGCCTGATTCTTAGGGTGTTTTTCTCCTTGGCCTACTAATACTATGTCAAATAATGGAATTGTATTGAAAGAATGACCACAATGTCTTCCCATTGTTCTTTCTCCTTTGCAGGTAAAGCCTTGGAAAAGGCTGGGGGGAAAGAGTTCTTGGAAACAGTAAAGGAGCTTCGCAAATCTCAAGGCCCTTTGGAGGTCACGGAAGGTAAGTATGGAATTGGGTCCGTGTCGCCATCGTGGTCTCACCGCCTTCCTTCCTGAAGTGCTCAGCCTCACACGCTTCGTACATATTCAGTTCATGAAACAAAGTATGCCGTACCTAATCAGAATGCTCTCTCAGCATCTCACAGATCACTTGAGCAGGCCCATTGTAGAGCTTTCAGATGCTCTGTGACTAGAAAGTGTCTGGATAATGCAAGTCAATTTGCATAGATCCCCAAAATGGTCTGGAGCCATTGGGTACCATTGGAACCATTTTAAAGTGTGTAATTCAGTGGCATTAAGAAGTACTTTCATGATGTTGTGCAGTCACCACCACTATCTAGCTCGAGAGCTTTTATGTCTGCACATGGAAGCTACCTACACATTAAGCAGTCATGCCTACCCCCCAGCCCCTGGCAGCCACTTGTCTATTAACTTTCTCTCTCTATGGAGTTTCCTGTCCCGGATAGTTCATATAAATGGAATCACACAACTTATAACCTTTTGTATGCCTGGCTTCTTCCACTGAATACAGTTTTTTCAAAGTTCATCCATACCATAGCATGTGTCAGGATTCACTCCTTTTTGTGGCGGAGTAATATTCTATTTTGTTTAGCTATTCATCTGATGGATATTTGGGTTTTTCCACCTTTGGCTGTTGTGAATAGAGCCGCTAGGAACATCTGTGCACACGTTGTGTGAGCAACTGTTATCAAGGACACTGGGCAACTTTTTGACAGGTGGCTCCAACCTCAGAGCCATGTTCTTACCCACACGACCCCCTATCAGTTCACTCCTTATACCTCCAGTCAGTGCCAAGTGCTGCACTCACACCAGGGTTTCAAGAGCCATAAAACTCACTGCTGCCCTCAGACAGAGAAATGGGGCATAGAGCAGGAACCAAGGCCTTGGCATGAGGGTGCTGGGGAAGAATCGCAGTGAGGTGTGAGACGCCCTTAGGGGTGGGACACAGTGTGCAGATGGAGTGCTGTGTGTGCAGGAAGACTTGGGTCTCGCGCAAATAGGGAGTTAGGGGTCAGTAGGTAGAAGGAGAGAAACAGCAGCCCGGGATGGGGCCAGGCCCACAGTCTGTGCGAAGGAGTCTGAATGTGACCCGACCCGATGTGGACAAGAGGAGTCACCTTGGGACGTTTACGCAGGAGACTGTCCCGATTTGATTTGATTGGTAGAAAAGTGATGAGGGCTTCCAGTCAAGAAAGAATGTGAGTCCACACTTTAAATGTGCATAGGCCACTCTCCTATACACTCAGCAGTGGTAGATAATGTCTTTTTTTAAATTGTAAGACAAGCCAAGCACGGAGGCTCACATTTATAATCCTGGTACTTTGGGAGACACAGGTGAGAGGATTGCCTGAGTCAGGGGTTTGAGACCAACCTAGGCAACTTGGCGAGCCCTCATCTCTACAACAAATCAAGAACAATTAGCCAGGCATGGTAGCGCATGCCTGTGAATCCAGCTACTTGGAAGACTGAGGCAGAAGAATCACCTGAGCCCAGCAGGTCGTGACTGCGGTGGCCGTGAACATGCCACTACACTCCAGTCTGGGCAACAGAGTGAGACTCTGACTCAAAAAAAAATACATAAATAAAAAACAAAATAGAATTTTAAAAACTAATTGTAAGACAGAGCCACACTCTTATAGGGCAAGTAGATGTGTGGACGGAGACAGGAGAGTGGCAGCAGCACCGGTGGATCAAGCCCCAGACCCGGGCTTTGTGTCTGGTGATATGCAGAGTCGCCTCACACATGGAGGGGACCAGCTTACTGCTCAAAGCCAGGAGTAGAGGAGACTCCCATGGCCCTTCCAGGAAACCAAAGCACTGGCCACCACCCAGAGCTTACCCTGGGGTCTATGTAAAACCTGTCTTTCTAGGGTAACAGAAGGGCGCACAGAACCCACCACTCCAACCCAGGGCCCCGTTGCTGGCTCACTCAAATGGCCAGCTCCACTGCACCCCCCACATAACTGAGAGACAGAGCCCTCATCAGTCATCTAGGACTGGGGGCCTGGACCTGGGGAAGAATCCCAGCAAATACTGCTGGGGTGAGGAGGAGAGAGAATAGCTAGCTGCCCCACATGGAAGGAGAGGTCCCAACACGCTTCTCATCAGAGTTCCAAAGGCAGAAAGTAGAAGCAGTGTCTAAAGAGATCATAGCTGAGCATTTTCCAGAACGAAACATGAGTCCTCATGTCAAAATAAATGAAATTAAATCCAAAACCTGGTGCATCATGGTAAAGCTTCAGAAGTTCAAAACTGAAGAGAAACCTTCAAAGCAGCAACCCAAGTGGAGAGGTAGATCGTTTGGAAAGAAATGATGGTTCTAATGAGCACGGGCTTCTCATCAGACACACAAAAAAAATGTTTGGAAACAGGAAAGAAATATCTTCAAAGCACTAAGGGGGGAAAACTGTCAACCAAGAATTCCACATTCATTGCTGTGTTATTCAGGAATGAGGACAAAAGGTACACACTTTCAGACATGCAGAAGTCAAAGCAAGAAGCAGTGGCTCACACCTGCAGTCCTAGCACTTTGGGAGGCTAAGGCAGGAGGATCACTTGAGACCAAGATTTCAAGACCAGCCTAGACAACATAGTGAAATCCTGTCACTATGAAAAATTAAAAGTTAAAAGAAATTAGCCAGGCATGCATGCCTGTAGTCCCAGCTATGCAGAAAACTGAGGCAGAAGGATCACTTGAGACCAGGAGTTCAATGCAGCAGTGTCTTGTGATCATGCTACTGCACTCCAGCCTGGGCAACAGAGCAAGACCCTGTCTCTTAAAAAAAAAAAAAAAGTTCAGAGGCAACAATCAAGCCCCTTGATGGAATGACTACAAGAGACTGCACAGAGGAAATAGAAGTGAATCTTCAAGAAAGGAGAAGGCTGTGGGAAGCAATTATGAGCTAAGAAATGGGTACAAATGTGTTATGGCTAGGTGTCCCCCGCCTTGAGCCGATCAGAGTAGCATCCCAGAAAGAAGGGAAAAGGGAAGACAGTTCACCAGTTTTTAACACCATATTTAATTTAACTTAAAAGCACCATCAAAATCAAAAAAATTAGCCAGGTGTGGTGGCACGCACCGGTAATCGTAGCTACTCGGGAGACTGAGGAGGGAGGATTGCTTGAGCCTAGCCGTCCAAGGCTGCAGTGAGCTGTGATCGTGCCACTGCATCCCAGCCTGGGTGACAGAGTAAGACTGACTTAAATAAATAATAAATAAAAGCACCATCCATTGTAGGATATACCCTTCTTGCATGTACCACTAAGAAAAGATTAAATTTCCCAAAGGGAGTGTCTAACAGGAAACCCCCACATAAAGCTGGGACACATTCAATTTAAGAACAAGTGAGACATGAACCCCACCATGCAGAAAGGGGCAGCAAGTGTATACGTTGACCTTGGCAGCTGCCGATGCTGGGTTTCAATGTGGAGTTAGACTTGAGCAGCTGCATGGAGTCTTAGATGGCAGGAGGAGGTCTGGGCCAGAAGACCATCTAGAAAACTGGACAGAACAAGGGGGCATGGGGTAGTTGGAGGGGAAGAAAATCCTTGCTAGAAAACTTGAACTGCAAGCCACTGCAGATGTGCAGCCGGATCCTGTGCAGCTCAAAACCGCAGGCAAAGAGTAGAACGCAGTAGAACACAGGCAGAGTAGTAGAAGGCAGTCTCAGCTTGGTCGTGTCCCCAGGTGATGTAGAAGGAAATGCAACTTCTTTCTGGAAGAAGTCTGCTTCAATCCAGGCTAACAACAATAGTAAGACGCATCCTGATCGCAATGATATAGAAATGTTTAAACAACAGGCTAGGCACAGTGGCTCATGCCTGTAACCCCAACACTTTGGGAGGCCGAAGTGGGAGGATTGCTTGTGCCCAGGAGTTCCAGGAGACCAGCCTAGGCAACATAGTGAGATTTCGTCCCTACAAAAAAAATGTAAAAAATTATCCAGGCATGGTATGCACACCTGTAGTCTCAGCTACTCAGGAGGCTGAGACCGAAGGATTGCCTGAGTCCAGGAAATCAAAGCTGCAGTGAGCCAGGATCACACCACTGCACTCCAGCTTGGGCAACAGAGTGAGACCCTGTCTCAAAAAAAAAAGGAATAAACAACAAAAAAAAGTGCATCTTGCATAGCTAAAGCATACCAACCACAGTGCAGGCATGCCCTGAGGCAGGGGGGATGGGGAGAGGGTGGATCAAGAAAACATTTCAGGGGCAGAGCCAGTGAAAATCAGTCATGGTGGTCTGTTCAAGGTGGCAGAAGGGGAAGCTAAGGGTAGGTCCACGGTGGCCAGGCTGAGCAAACTGGTGAAGTCAGGCCTCTCCTTCATTCAGTGAATATCTGAGCACCTGGGAACCAGAGACATGACAGGGAATACTTAAGCGCTTCGATGAAGATGTCACCGTGTCAGAGTCAGTTTAGTGAAACATCTATGGCATGCATGGCAGGGTGGTGGCATTGGGGCACAGATGTGAACATAACCCCTGAACACTCTGGAACTTTCCACCCAGGTGGGGAGTCCAGGGTAACACAGCACATCAGTTAACACAGCTGGCTGCTGAATCGCACAGTGGGGGCTCAGAGAGAACGAACAGGGGAGCCAGGGAGAGAGGAGGACTGGCCGAGCGTGGGGACAGGGGTGCAGCCAAGCCTCGCATGTGAGGGCACAGAGGTGGCTGGCGGGACGTTGACTGAGAGTCTGGAAGGAGCAAGAAACGGACGGACTCCAAGGTGGAGGTGGAGGGCAGAGCAGGAAAGGCACACCAGGATAGAGACCAGGAACAGCTGCAGGTACTGGATTTCGATGTGGAGTGAGGGACCCTGACTCCAGCAACTGTGTAGAGGCCTGCTTGGCCGAAGGAGGGCTGGGGCCAGAAGATCCTCTAGAAAACTGGATTAGAACAGGGAGCGGGGGGTGGAAATGAAGCAGACAGGCCTGGAATGAGACAAGGCAGAGGAAACTGGCTGGAGGCTGCAGAGATGGGAAAGGAGGAATCGGGTTTCGGGAGTGAATGCTGATGTTGCTGGGTCCATGTTGGACCTGCACACCAGAAAGGTCACCGAGGTATGGGCCACTGTTGAAAGCAAAGGGAGGCCGGGCACAGTGGTTCAAGCCTGTAATCCCAGGACTATGGGAGGCCAAGGCGAGAGGATTGCCTGAGTCCAGGGGTTCAAGGCCAGCCCGGGCAATTTGGTAAGACCTCATCTCTACAATAAATTTTTTTAAAAATTAGCCGGGCATGGTGGTGCATGCCTGTAGTTCCAGCTACTTGGAGGGCTGAGGCGGAAGGATTGCCTGAGCCCAGCAGGCTGAGGCTGTGGTGGCCGTGAGCATGCCACTGCACTCCAGCCTGGGCAACAGAAAAAAAAAAGCAAAGGGAGAAAATAGCTTGCAGATGGCTCCTTAGGAACCAGGACTGCAGCAGAGAGAAGAGCACGGGGCCCAGGCATGCAGGGAGAACAGAAGCTGCTGTGGGAAACTGAGGCACTGTTAGAAGAAAAATCGTGATGACAGGGAGAACAGGGGTCAGCAGAAGCAGCTTCCCAGCAGGATGAGGAGCCATCCTGGAGTCCCTTTCGGATGTGATGACTGTGATGACTCTCCTGAGGGAAAGTTCTGGAAACCCCTAGCAGCAGCACTGCCATGCTCAGAATGCAAGTCTTCACCAGGTGACATCGCATCATAGAGGGGAAACACTTGAAGTCACTCTGTTAGTAGGTGCTTATACCAAATGCTGGTGTCAAAATCCTTGTGAAAACTTGGCCCTTGTGCTTGGCACCTCTAGAGAACATTATAAATCATGACAGCTACAAGTTTTGTTTTCCATTTCCAGTTGCTGTGGAAATACTTTTAGACTGAAGTGTCATTATGGGCATTTTTTTCTTTTTCCTTTATTTTTTGAGTCGGTGTCTCACTCTGTCATCTAGGCTGGAGTGCAGTGGCACACTCATGGCCACTGCAGCCTCAACTTGCTAGGCTCAGGCAATCCTCCCACTTCAGCCTTCCAAGTAGCTGTAACTATAAGCAGACACCACCATGCCTGGCTACTTTTTTTTTAATTTATTGTAGAGATGAGGTTTTGCCAAGTTGCCCAGGCTTGTCTCGAACCCCTGGACTCAGGCAATCCTCTTGCCTCAGTCTCCCAAAAAGCTGGGATTACAGGTATGAGTCACAGCACCTAGTTTTTTTTTTTGTTTTTTTTTTTTTATAGAGACAGGGTCTCACTTTGTCGCTCAGGCTAGAGTGCAGCAGTACAATCACAGCTCACTGCAGCCTCAACCTCCTGGGCTCAAGTGACCCTCCCACCTCAGCCTCCTAAGCAGCTGGGACTATAGGCACACACCGCCATGTCTAGCTAATTTTTTAAATTAGCAGAGCAGCTCCAAGGCTCAGGCATCATTGATCAGGTTGAATAGGGACACTCTGGTTGTGGTACACAAATGTACATTGTAAAGTCAGTGCATGACTGTGCCACGCCCCCTGCCTTGTTAGCATTATGTAGACAAGTTCCTGGTGCATTCATGTTTAATTATATTGAGTACTCACTAGGCATGGGAAAGGCAGGGAGCTTACAGCCTCATCTGACTAAGGGCTCCCTTGGATTTAGTCTCCTCTCCTGTGAGGAAGTGCGGTCACAGCTTCTCTGACACTGTGGACATCGCTAGGAAATACTTCTCATAAAGTAGGTAGGCATGATGTATTTCAAATAAATCTCTCAACCCAACCCTGTCCACAGCACTGAAATACGACAGGCACACATGTATGTAGCAAATGCTGCCCCCTCATGGCCATGGGCTGCCACTCCAGGAGGGCTGGGCACACTGACTGTGTTTTCCTCAGATTCTGGAGTGTCACAGAGGGCTGGGATGACCCAGGGGCATGCAGCATGGGGCTGCACCAGCAGCTGCCCCATGTGGATCAGAGAGAACTGCTCCCCTGGGTGCTTATCAACTCTGTCGCTGATGGGAACTATGTTTGGAGGAGTAAAAAGTAAAACAAAGGAGTGTGGCTGAACTTAGGAGACAAGGCTGGCATAACTCAACTTCATAACTCCTTTTTGAAACCCTTCTCTCTCTGCAGGGCATGTAGAGAGGATCAAAAGACAGTCCCTGTCCAAGGAAGTATACAGTCAAGTTCAGAGTTCTCAACTCATGGAGGGGCCTAAAGCCACACACACATAAATCCTCTACCAGACCCACTGAATCAGGGTCTCTGGGGCCAGGATCAGGCACTATCTCCTTTTATAGAAACCACTGTATTCATTTCCTATGGCCACTTCGCAAATTACCACACACTTAGTGGTTTCCAACAACACAAATTTCACGAGTCAGCAGAGCTGGTACCTTCTAGAGGCTCAGGGAAGACGCCCTTCCTTGCCTCCTCTGGTTTCTGGGCTGGGGCGTTCCTTGGCTGCTGGCCGCACCCCTCCAATCTCTGCTTCCATCATCATTCTGCCTTCTCTTGCCCTTGACCTCTTGCCTCCTTTTAATGAGGATCCCTTGATTACATTAGGGCTCACCCAGATAGTCTGGGATCATCTTCCCATCTCAAGATCCTCAATTCTCATCTGTAAGGTCCCTTTTGCCACATAAGGGAATGTCCACGTTCCAGGGGTTAGGATGTAGGTGTTTTGGAAGGCCATTACTCAACCAACCACAGCCAGCAGAGAGGATTTTTGTTTGTTTGTTTGTTTGTTTGTTTGAGACAGTGTCTTACTCTGTCACCCAGGCTAGAATGTAGTGGCACAATCACAGCTCAGCAGCCTTGATCTCCTGGGCTCAGGTGATCCTCCTATTTCAGCCTCCAAGTAAGGACTATAAGTGCATGCCCAGCTAGTTTTTTTTATTTTGTGTAGAGACAATGGCTTGCTGTATTGCCCAGGCTGGTCTCAAACTCCTGAGCTCAAGTGAGTCTCCTGCCTCCAGCCTCCCAAAGTGCTGGGATTACAGGCGTGAGCCACCATGTCAAGCCAGCAGAGAGGATTTTGATGTGTCCCTTTGACTAAGAAACCCCGTGAGTAGGTGAGTAGGTGAGTAGGTGGCCTAACCCAGGGACTAGTTGGCACACCATAGGAAAGTGATGTGCTGCCACAAAGGCATCAAGTACATTGGTCCAAAGCTTCTGCTGACTTTCCAACAACTCTTGCTCTCTGATAAACATAGTCCTCCTGGCACAGGATATTGTCCAGCCAACTTCCCACCAGTTCCTTGTTCCTCACAGACCTACCAAGTAGCCTGTGACATTCAGCCTAACCTCCTGGCTTAAGGTGGAAACTTAGGAAATAACCTGCAGTCTTTTCTCTCCCACGTCCCAGCGGCCATCAGCCAATCCAGTGGACTCGCAGCCAAATTTGTCATCCACTGTCACATCCCGCAGTGGGGCTCTGACAAATGTGAAGAACAGCTTGAAGAGACCATCAAAAACTGCCTTTCGGCAGCAGAGGACAAGAAGCTGAAGTCCGTGGCGTTCCCTCCTTTCCCCAGCGGCAGGTAAGATGCAGTTCTCCCAAGTTCATTCCTGCAGCCTTTTCCCTGGGAACCAGCTGCTCCCCCGTGCAGTCACATCCGACCGGGACATTCCAGAAGACATGGCCAATGGCTGCCCCATAGCCAAGCATGTTAACCAAGTGACTGAACAAGAAACCCAGTTTCCATCCTTCACAGCCCACAGGAAAGCAGGCCCACTGGTTCATAGATCACCCCTGACTGGGACCGGCTCCCCTGCCTCCTTGATGTCAAAGCCCAGAGAGATAGGCAGCTGGAGGGAGGAGCAGGAGGCAGAGGCAATGTAGCATCTAATCTGAGAGCCTTCCATGTCCAAAGCCCATGTTCCCACCAGCTGTCCACGTCTAGGGCACAAGAACAGAAAATATCAGGCTCAAAGACCTTGCTACTCAAAGTGTGGTCCAGAGACCAGCAGCAGTGACATTGCCTTGTCAGAATGTGAACTCTCAGGCCCTACCCCCGACTTCCTGCTTCAGAATCCCCAGGGGAGTCTGTGGCTGCTCTTGGGAGTTGAGGCTTTGACAAATTCACCCAGAGAAGTGACAGGCTGTCACCAAGGGCTCGCTGACAAGGGAGTTAGAGGAAATGATTGGTTTAACCATAACAGACCTCAGCTGGGGATTGTTTCAGGTACCCAATGAAGATATCCACTCTCACATATGACATATCCCCTCACTTCATGCTCCTTGCCAAGCAATTATGTACTTTAATTCCGAATACCTTCTCTCAAGAGCTGCCCCTCTATAACATAGCTCTGATTTGCAGTTGTGTCCTGGGAAGGCTAAGAGGGAGACAAGGAGGCCTAGCCCCTTCAACCCAAGCAAACAGCGCTAGGTCTCCACAGTCCAGGCCCAGAGAGGGTGCAGGCCGAATTCCTTTGCAGGCAGGACCATGGCAGTGCTATTCTGTACTGGAACACTACATGCAAGTGAGAATTTCTGTAGGCAGGCCCCTCCTGAACCTGCCTCGGGGTCTTGGTGTCCCCCCAAATCACCACTCTAGCTGTGTCCCTGAAAGCTGGTGCTGTGTCCCAGCCTGGTGGACGGCACTGTCAATCACCCTGGTGCTTGGGGCTCTTAGCAAATTTCACCAAATCCATCCTGCCCAGAATCATTGCTGATAAAATTACAGTGGCATGGGCATATGAGTGAATGAAAGAAATAATAAGTGCATCAAAGAGGAATTGTGAAGACGAGGCTTTTGAACATACATTTTTGCCTTTTACTAAACAATCTGATTAGCAGATTTCATTACCAGTTTTGAGGGACCTAATAAAGTTTATTTTGCTTTTTTGAAGAACAGGGGTTTTGTTTTTGTTTTTGAGTTGGAATCTCACTCTGTCGCCCAGGCTGGAGTGCAGTGGCATGCTCCCAGCCACCACAGCCTTGATCTGCTGGGCTCAGGCGATCTTCTGCTTCGCCTTCCAAGTAGCTGGGACTAAAGGCACATACCACCACACCTGGCTATTTTTTATTTATTGTAGAGACGAGGACTTGCCAAGTTGCCCAGGCTGGTCTTGAACTCCTGAGCTTGAGCAATCCTCTCACCTCAACCTCCCACAGTGCTGGAATTACAGGCGTGAGCAGCCGCGCCCAGCCCGAGAGCAGGTATTTTAGATGCTGATTAGCTAGCATTTTTTTGAAGCCAAACTCAACTTGAGTCACGTGACATAGATTCAAACACAGGGCCAGCCCTAAGACCTGCCAGCCCTAGGACCTGGGCTAAAATCACCGTACCTGAGTCAGTGTGGCAACTGTAGAGTGGGGGCAGCATCCCCTACCTGCCTCCCTCCAGGCTGCCCTTTGACTAGGGTCAAAAGGGACCATGCATGGACCAGCCCTGCACATGGCGAGCCCCCACGCTGTAAGAACAAGGGTTTGCACCACCTTCCCGGCCAAGGGGAGGGTTACTCCCATGGGTGCCTGAGGACCAAAATGATGTCAGCTCTTTTTACTTTGGCACAGAAACTGCTTTCCTAAACAGACAGCGGCCCAGGTGACCCTCAAGGCGATCTCGGCCCATTTCGATGACTCGGGCGCATCCTCACTGAAGAACGTGTACTTCCTGCTCTTCGACAGCGAGAGCATCGGCATCTACGTGCAGGAGATGGCCAAGCTCGACACCAAGTAGCTGCCATGGTGCTTTCCCAGGGATCAGGAGGAGTGCGGTCACAGAGTGGGGTTTTATTTTTTAAAGGGAGAGAGGAGGGATAACGGCAGGGGAGCAGAGAGCAGTGGAGAGGGCCGAGGGCAGCAGAGGCAGCAGGGGCAGGTCCTGCCCACGATGGCGCCCTCTGCGTTTTCTACTCTCCTTCGAAAGAGCCTCAGCCCATAAGGAAGCGGGTCTCCACAAGGGGTTTCTTTCCATGTGTTTTCTTCCTGTTTTAGAACTTTTTAAAAAAAAAACAGACCTCGTTTTAGATTTATAGCATTGACTTTTACACTCACTCACACACAAGAAAAAAATCCCTTCAAAATTCTTAAATCTTCTGTTCCTCCTTTTTTCCAAGGGAAGAGGGCATACATGTGACTTGGGCTTTGTTGGTTGTCTGTATTCCATGGTGGAGAGAAGAAAATGGGAAAGACGTCTCACTGGTGCTTTTCTCTTTTGTTTTAGTGCCCCCACCCCATCCCACCCCACCCCATATGATATCTGTAACTACTCCTAAGAAGTTTTTGCTTCAGGCTTTTTTGTTTGTTTGTTTCATTTTGTTTTTTAAAGAAAAAGAAAAATGAAAGGAAAAAAATAAAAGATCCAGTGTCTTTCTTACAACATATTCTTTTATTGCAACATTCTCCTCGGTTTGGAAAACCATGTCCCCACAAGTGGATACTTCTGGAGTGTTATAAGTAAACAGAAGGCCAGCCGGGCAGGCATGGTGGCTCATGCCTGTAATCCTAGCACTTTGGGAGGTCAAGGTGGGAGGACTGCCTGAGCTCAAAAGTTCAAAACCAGCCTGGATAACAGGGAGGCCCCGTCTCTACCCCCACAAAAAAGCAAAAAATTAGATGTGGTGGTGCGCAGCTATAGTCCCAGCTCCGAGGCAGGAAGATCACCTGAGCCCAGGAGATTAAAGCTGCGGTGAGCCCTGATTGTACCACTGCATTCCAGCCTGGGTAACAGAGTGAGACTCTGACTGAAGTAAATAGAAAGCCAGTAACTAGCAGGCTGAGATTCTCAGCAGGCCAGACCCCAGGTCAGAGAGTACTGGGGCTGGTGTCTCTCAAGTCCTGCTTCTGGAAGGGGTGGATCTCCAGGCTCTGGCTTACAAGAACAAAGCCCTGGACGAAGCCACTGGTGGGCAACCATCCTCTGGAAAAAAGGTACGTCTCACCTAGGCCTGGGCAACAAAACAGAACTGACCCTGGGCCACAGCCCAAAGGCAATGAGCAGAGAACCCCAGGGAGCTGGTGTCCCGAGGACTCAGGGGTCACCACCAAAAGCAAGCAGAGGAGGGGCATGGCGGAGCGGGCAGGGTCTGAATGTATCAAATGAACTCATCAACCACTTCTGCGATGAAAATGTAACCTAGGTGGTCCAAAATAGGCCCTCCTGTTGGAAGATCACTCCCAAATAGAGGGGTCACATATCCCCCTTAGCACAGGTGGCAGATATTACTGCCTTATGGCTGGGCCTCCAGATGAGGGACCCTGGGGTTGGCCAGAAACCCAGAAGCACAAAACCTCAAAGTCTCACAGGGCCCCTTCCCCACCCCCCAGCAACAGCTGGAATTTTGTCACTTACACATTTCCCCACGATGGTAACCTGGAGATATGTGGGGGTCACCTTCTGAACTCCACCCCGCTCCCTGCAGGGTAACCAGATGGTGCCTCCAAAGGGTCACGTTAGCTCTGTGACCTTTCCTTAAACACCTCCCATGGCTGGCAGGCCAGGCTGCAGTCTTGACCCCTGCTGGCTTTGTATAATCTCACTGTCAGGGTGGGTTAACCAGGAGGGAAACCGTCTAACTCCTTCTTCTTCAATGTAACCTATGGTATATAGGTAGGATCTAAAAGTGAGAATGCAGAAGGACTCGTGAAGCTTAGGGGGCAAGGGGACTAACCACATGTTGAGGAGCTTAAAGCGAAGCTCCTGTTCACCACTTGTTGCTGCGGAATGTGGGGGCTCGCCCACATGCAATGGTAGAGGTTTGGTGTGCAGGCCGTCTCTCCACCCCAGCTCCTTTGCCTTGGTCTCACTGTGTAGGCTCCTCTTCCTGCCCTTACAGATCCCAGCCACCAGGAACCCAGCTCTCTGCCCCACTCTGAGAGCTCTGAATGTTATGCCTAATTGCCCTCACACACACACACACACACGTCTAAGAGGAATCGGGGTACAGAGGGCTGGCTGTGGTCTCCCCAGGATCACAGGAACCCAGCTCTCTGCCCCACTCTGAGAGCTCTGAATGTTGTGCCTAATTGCCCACACACACACACACACACACACACGTCTAAGAGGAATCAGGCTGGCTGTGGTCTCCCCAGGACCACTTAGCCAGCACATATGAGCTGTTCAGCCAATACAGCTACAAGCAGACCTTCAATACCCAAAAAGAATCCCTCTAGAAGGGTCTTTTTTAAATGTATGTCTGTGTCTGTCTGTCTGTCTGTCTCTCTCTCTCTCTTTCTCTCTCATTTTTGTTGTATACAAGTTGAATTTCCAGTAAGTACATCATTGGTATCTTTTTTTTTTTTTTTTTTGCTTTGAAGTCTCACTCTGTCGCCCAGGCTGGAGTGCAGTGGCATGCTCCCAGCCACCACAGCCTCGACCTGCTGGGCTCCGGCGATCCTTCCACTCAGCCTTCCAAGTAGCTGGAACTATAGGCACGTACTACCTGCCCAACTAATTTTTTTGATTTATTGTATAGATGAGGTCTCGCCAAGTTGCCCAGGTAGGTCTCGAACCCGCGGGCTCAGGCAATCCACTCACCTCGGCCTCCCAAAGCGCGGGATTACAGGCTGAGCCACCGAGCTTGGCCATCATTAGAATCTTATGCCAGAAAAACTGCCCTGGCCCCCTTCAGCTCTTCCAGGCAGGGGCCCTCTGGCAGGCGGTGCATCCACCCATTGGCCATGGTAGCTCACCTCCTGCCCAGACTCCCCATCAGGGTGGAGACTGCCTCATGGTTTTCCAGCTGGTGGAGACAAACAGGTCCCGGCTCTTGGCCAACCGAACCATGAGGCGACCCACATAGAAGCCACTGATCTGGCCCACGCCGTCATTTCTTCCCATGGACAGGAGGAACGTCAGGGAACCTGCAGAGCAGAGACATACACTCAAACCAGAGTCTGCTGAACGTTCTGGGCTGGCAGGTCCCAGTGCGCCGACCCCTCCCAGGCCTTCACACTCAGGGCCGGGAAATGTGTAAGACATCCAGGAAGGTGGGTGAGGCCCTGGTTCATTTTTAAAGAGCTATAGGGGGGGTATTTGCGCTGCCAGCGTGGAGTCTGTTCTAGTGGTCAGGTACCTCATAGCCCCACAAAGCTCCCCCATGTCTAACCCCAAATGCTCCCAAAGCACGAGGCAGGTGGGGCTTCCCTCACCTGGCTTGTAGGCCTTGAGGGGCCTCTGTTTCATGGAGTTGACAATGTTGGCCACGGCGATGTTGGCGTGGAGGCCGGCGTGATAGGCCATCTTGGGCTCCCTCATGTCGGCACAGTCTCCAATGGCATAGACATTGCTGTGACCCTCCACCTGGAGGTACTCGTTCACCCGCAGGGCGCCATTGCCGGCCAGTTTGCTCTCTGTCCAGCAAGACAACACCAAAGCCAAGACCCTGAGTTGTGGTGTTAAGTGGCCACCAGAAGGTGATGGGGATGAGCTCTAGGTGCTGGCCAGGTCACCCTCCATAGGCACCTGCATGAGAGGCAATCCTCCTACCTAACTTATTCCTGCCTGAAGTCCCTGCCTCAGAATCTTCCTGCAAAGGGAAGGTTACTGATTTCTGAATGGAAATGGGCCAGAGCCCCAGCAAGCCTCCTTTAAGAAAAGCACACAACTCCTCACATAAGTTACGATGATTAGCCAAGTCTTAAATTTACTCTTGAATGTAGGTAAGATTTTTTTTTTTAAGAAGGCAGGGCTTTGGTCAGGCATGGTGGCTCACACCTATAACCCCAGTACTTTGGGAGGCAGAGGCAAGAGGATTGCTTGAGCCCACGGGTTCACCATGTTGTACCTGGACAACATGGTAAGACCTCATCTCTACAATAATTTTTTTTTTTTTTTAATTAGCCAGGCATGGTGGTGTGTGCCTATGGTTCCAGCTATTTGGAAGGCTGAGGTAGAAGGATCGCCTAAACCCAGCAGGTCAAGGCTGCCATGGCTGTGAGCATGCTACTGCACTCCAGCCTAGGTGATGGAAGTAAGACTGACTCAAAAAAAAAAAAGAACACAGGGACTGCTCTGTTTTTAAGGACTTCAATGAACTTATCTTTTAAAGTACAACATTAAGACAATTAGGTGAACCAGGTATGGTAGCTTATGCCTGTAATCCCAGCACATTGAAAGGCTGAGCCAGGAAGATTGCTTGAGCCCAGGGATTCGAGACCAGCCTGAGCAACAAAGCAAAACTTCATCTCTACAAAAAAAATAAAAAATAAAAATTAGCTGGGCGTGGTAACATATACCTATAGTCCTAGCTACTCAGGAGGCTAAGGCAGAAGGATTGCCTAAGCCCAGGAAGTAGAGGCCACAGTGAGCTGTGATGGTACCACTGCACTCCAGCCTGGGCTACAGAGTGAGACTCCAGTTCCATTTTTTAAAAAAGACAATTAGGTGTTAAAGTCTGGGATTTCTGCCCATGATAAGCTCTCAAACCCACTCCCATAGACAACTTGGACTGGCTTCCCTCTTCTGGGACTGGATCATTACTTCTTCCTGCTAGACACAAGGCAGGAGCTCCTAGTTGGGGATAAGCACTCGGGAGTAAATGATGGGAACCTGAGGACACAAAGCAACCATGGAGCCTGGCCACCAAGTCTCCTGCTCACACATGGAGGCCAAAATACACATCAGTCCATGTTCGGAGCCTCATGCCTGTAATCTTCACACTTTGAGAGGCTAGGATCACTTGAGCCCAGGAGTTCAAGAACAGGCAACGTAGCGAGACCTCGTCTCTACAAAAAATAAAAAAATTAGCCAGGCATGATGGCATACTCCTGTAGCCCCAGTTACTTAGGAGACTGAGGCAGAAGGATCACCTGAGCCCAGGAGGTGGAGGCTGTGATGAGCCATGACTGTGCCATTGCACTCCAACTTGGGTGGCAGAATGCGACCCTGACTCAAAAAACAAAACATGCATCAGTCCACCTCCTACTAGCTAACAAGTCAAATTTTTAACTTTAAGAAATAAGGCCATATCATTGCCCCTGCTCCCCAATAATTCCAAGTTTTAGGGGCCAAGTGTTTGGGTTCGGTTTGGGGAGAGCAGTGCACCTGCAAATAGAGAAAGGCCTGACCCAGAATCCCCTCCCCATGGCTGGAAGGAAAGTAACAGAAAGCCCCTCTTTCTTGTCTCTCTGAAACCTGTTCCCAACTCCTATCACTAGGGGGCAGCTCTATGTCCAGAAGATTCTGGCCACACCTTGGCCACCTGTAGCTGAGCCATTGTCACAGCTGAGGAGAGCTCAACAAGATTGGCCACTAACCTGAATGTAAAGTTTGAGCTGTTGGGAAGGGGAATCAGGGAGGTGTTGACTCAGGGCCACAAGAGCTGTGGGCATTCTCAGAGTCTGAAGAGCAGGGAGGCACCAGGGAGGCAGCACGGC